ATCTCAACAGATAATCGTTTGTAATGAAGAAGAGGTTATCAATGAAATCAAGAATTTTTTCAAAAATGATGAAGAACTAACAGAATTACTATTAACCGATTTTAAAGCTAAATCTTTTACTTTAATGGAAATTGTTAATCAGAATGTACATATCAGAAAAATAACAATTAAAAAAATACTTACAAATTCTCTCCATATTAAATTTATCCATCTATTCAGTTATTTGACCGAGTAGATTTTTTTCTACGTAAACTTAAAATGTCATCAAACTGGCAAGAAAAATTTGAAAACTTTGAGTATGCTGTCGATTGGATCAAAGTCACAAATTCTGATAAACTGAAATTAAAATTGAATGAATACAGATATGTTCTTATCAATTTCAAACTCTACTACGAGGTTGAAACACAGAAACCTGAAATTACATTTTTGATTGATATCAAGAATTTTCATTTACTACAAAAATATACCTGGTATTGTCGTAAAGATAGAAACACATATTATATTTACACAAATGATAATCGAAAAATATTAAAACTTTATCGATTAATCAAACCAAATTGGAAAATGATCGATCATGTGAATCGGGAAGGTTGTGATAATAGAGAAATTAATTTACGAGAAACAATATCCAAAGAAAATGCAATAAATTGTAAATTACATAAATATAATTCTTCTAATTATAATGGAATTAGTTATATTAAAACACTTAAAGCTTGGAAATTTCAATAGTGTAAAAATAATAAACGTAAAACAAAATAGTTTTATGTTACAAAGAATAGAACTTCTGAGCAAGCTAAAAAGCTTGCTATAGATTTTAAATTAGAACACGACCAAATTACCGGAAACAAAAACGAATATCCTACAACTTATCAATAAACATCTGCTCAGTCGTTCAGACCGAGTAGATCTTAATTTAGTCAATTTTTTTTTTTAACAATGTTAAACTTCGTTATTAATAAAATTTTTGAACTAAAATGGCAAAACCCATTTATTTTTCTTATCTTTACTATTTTTATTTATCTTATTATTATTTCTTTTATTTTTATTTACACCAATTTGAACAAGAAACCTAAAATCAT